ACTAGAGGAAATTCTGGTTAGAAATGCTAGCAAATGCTAGTTTCCTGAATAGTAAACCAGCTAAGACTCCCTTAAGCATGAAGAGTGTATTATCAGCAGAAGATGGAGTGCCTCTTGAGGATGGTAAGTTGTACAGGCATTTACTGGGTCAGCTGCAATACCTCACCACTACAAGACCTGATATAGCGTTCCCATTCCAACAATTGTCCCAATTCCAAGGTAATCCTACCAGCACCCATCTTCAAGCATTGCACAGGGTTCTTAGATATCTCAAAGGTTGTCCAGGATAAGGTTTATGGTTCTCTGCTAAATCAGACCTCACCATTAGAGGTTACAACGACTCTGACTGGGAAACCTGTCCTGATACCAGAAGGTCAGTTACTGGCTACTGCACCTTTCTGGGTGATTCTCTCATTACATGGAAAAGCAAGAAACAAACTACTATCTCGAGGTCTTCCTCCGAGGCAGAGTATAGAGCACTTGCACAACTCTGCTGTGAATTTCAGTGGATGAAATGCTTGATGGAATTCTTCCAGGTGCCACACCCTCATCCTATTCCACTTTTCTGCGACAATCAGTCTGCTATTTACATAGCAGCGAACCCGGTCTTCCACGAGCGTACTAAGCACCTTGAGGTTGATCTACACATCACTCGTGAAAGACTAAAGGCTGGGCTTATTACACTGTAACACATTTCTACTAATTACCAGCCGACAGACATTTTCACGAAAGGGTTGTCTGCAGAGAGGTTTCGATTTCTGTTGTCCAAGTTAGGTGTATTGGATCAGTACACGCCAACTTGAATGGGCATGTGAAGAAGAAGAGATGACAGCTCTGCTCTGCTTTCCTCTGCAACGCAACGCACAACACCAAACGATGACGTTGCTAAGGAGAGAAGCCTTCCACGATGCGTTTTGGTACAAATCAAATGGAACGGCTAATGTACAGTGCTTACATACATGTCGTTGATTCATTGGTTCATTTGTAAATGTTAGTGATCTGATTAGTAGAGTTACAGAGTAGATTAGCAGATAGATAGCTTTTCTTCCTTTTCTTTGCTTCTTTTGTACAGACTATATATAGTTGCTGCTGAATGGAAAGGCCATCGAGCCAATTTCCCAAAACCCTAGTTGGCATTATATCCTTTTGCTGAAAATCGGGTTTTAACCAAAAATTCCCGATCACGCAGCCAGGCCACATGGCCGTGTGGTTTGCCCAGCTGCCCGTGTGAAGGCTCTTGTGATTTCCACACGGCCACATGGCCAGGTCACACGGCCGTGTGGGTTTTTAGGCTTGCCCAGCCTCTGTTTAAATGCTTCATTTCTCCCTCGTCCGGACTCCGAATCAGTCGCCGTTTGATCCCAGACGCTCGTAGTCTCGTCCTCTTTATTTTCATGACAAGATTCCATGATTATTTGTCCATTATATGAGGTAGAAGTCCATTATTCCTCAGGTCATGCTCGTGTTTCTTCTCCCGAATTGCCAAATGATCTCCGATTGACTTGAAACTTGCGCCTATGGTTCAATTTACATGCTAGGACCTGAAATGTGACAAAGGAACACAACCTAGAGTAAAATAGTCCAAGAAAGCATAAACTCAAGCCAAAATGATCAAGTAACACGGGTGCAAACATGTGCAAATCCGATGTTATCACCTGCAGAAGCAAATCACCCACTTTGTTCAGGATGAAGATGAGACCATTCGGGATGCTTGGGAAAGATACACCAGTCTTTTCCTCAAGTGTCCCAACCATGGTTTTACTGACGCCTTCAAGGTGGGCACCTTTTACCATGCCCTCTTCCCGGAAGACAAGAAGCTGATTGACTCAGTCTGCGGCGGTGCTCACCAAGACACCGCCACAGCTGAATCAACCTTTTGAAGAGATGGTAGAGCAGGGCTATGATTGGGGAACTGCGAGGCGATCGAGACGAGCACCAGGGCGGGGTGTGCATGCTGTAGCCACCCAGTCGTCTGATTTGGTGCAGGTGGTATCGAAACTAGTTTCAGCCATCGATCGCTCTAGAATGATTTCAGGGACTGGACAACAGCAGGTGATGCATTGCCAGTGGTGCGAGAGCACCCATCACAATGTGGAAGATTGTCAGGCGATGAGGGAGTCGACTACACCCCAGGAGCAGGTGAACTTCATCAACAATGCTAGGCACAATGACCCCTACAGTAACACTTACAACGAGGGGTGCGTGATATGATCCTAATTCGAGAATCCATCCAAACTTGGACCAAAAATCAGAATTGCGCAACGTCGAACTCTTCTGGGGTTTTCTTCTTTCTTCAATAACACGAAAATAAAGGACAGTCGCGAAAATCTCGAACCCGTGGATAAGGCCAACCGATATAGTCGATGCTCGCCACAACCAGACGCGTTCTCTAGTTGATAAGAGACCACTCAAACCTCCCAAATCCTTAAAGGAGAGAATAAGCAAAACGTTCACTTGAACTTGTAAACACTTGTATTTGATTGCTGAAACTTGGGTACAAAATTCGTAGGTCTTACACCCTCTATTTATAGAGGTCTCAAAAACATAAATCTAACCTTCTAGGAATAGAAAAACAAAACCCAAACTAACTATGAAACAATTAAATAATAAAATTAAACCAATAAACTCCAAATATGCGCACTGCAGTACTCGGGATCTTCTTCTACTTCGTTGCGGATACGGATCACTTCCCTTCTTTGTCCTTTGCGGTTTTGGATCTTCCACTTCCAAGCAGCTCCACGAAATCCTTCCAGCAAATAGCCTAATTAATCCATGCCAAAATTGATCATGTCACTTTATATCCATGCACGTCTACCATTATTTTCCATGCCTCAGCAACTTCTTATTCAAGCTTGAACACGTGCATCAATCTAGCTCCGAGCATAATTTTGATCCATAAAACATGCTCCCAATTGATCTTTAAATCTTTGAATTTGAATCTTCATTTTCGGACCACGGGAATTAAATATCGTGCTAGTCGATATCGCATCATAGCGCCAGCATCCCAACTTCTCCTGGATTGGGGCCAATCCTAGACCACTAGTTTCACAGGGACCGCCAGGCTTCTAGAGACCGCCATATCAGCACAGGCAGGGGCAATTCCAACAACAGCAGCAGTCTCTCTACCAGTCCATGTAGGGGCATGCTGCCCAACCATAACCGCGACCCTTCTAGCAGCCAGGTACAGTCCCTGCAACCCCAGTACAGAATGATCCGATAGCTGAACTGCGGGGGCTTGGTGGGTTCTCTTGCCAATTTCAGTTCTCATAAATTCAACAGTATCGAGTAGTTCATGGAAAAGGCCTCGGGTAAATTCCTGGCTCTTGAAGCTGGCCAGAGGAACACACAGGCTGTCTTGCAGGATATCCAAACCCAGCTAGGGAGTGTGGCTCAAGCAGTGGCACAGAGGGCTCCGGGTACCTTGCCGGGTCATACCATTCCTAATCCGAAGGACCCGAATGCCCAATGTAATGATATCACTACAAGCAGCGGCAAAGTGATTGCAGACCCACATGTCCTGGCCAGACAAGCGGGAGGGAGACCTGCCTCGGCATTTCTAGCTGTTGAAGAAGAAGCGGAGAAGGAGGTTGAGGTGCCTGCTCCTAAGTCGCAACCAGTGGTGAAGGAGTATGTCCCTCAACTCCACTTCCCTACTCGGTTGCACAAAGACAGGCTAGAGGCAGAGTTCGGAAACTTCATGTCCATGCTTAGGAAGCTGAATATCCAAGTGCACTTCCTGGAGGCACTATCTCAAATGTCTAAGTATGCGAAGCTCCTGAAGGATCTTCTCTTAAAGAAGCAGAAGTTGAGCGATCTGGCCACTATGGAGCTCAACGAGGAGTGCTCGGCCATTCTGCAGAACAAGCGCCGGCAGAAGCAAGAGGACCCAGGTAGTTTTACTATCCCGTGCTCTATAGGTTAATTGCATGTAAAGAGGTCCTTGGCGGATCTAGGTGATAGTATCAATGTTATGCCATATAAATTGTTCAAGAAACTAGACCACTGTGAACCCAGTGCAACTAGGATGAGTATTCAATTAGCTGACCGATCTATAGTTCATCCTAGGGGCATAGTGGAAGACCTTCTGGTTAAGGTTGGCAGATTCTTTTATCCTGTGGATTTTGTTGTCTTGGACATCAATGAAGACACAGAAGTGCCCCTTATACTGGGAAGGCCTTTCCTCGCCACCGCCAAAGCTCTCATAGATGGACATGATGGGACCTTAGTCTTGAGGGATGGTGAGGAGCGAATAATATTTTCCATTGCTAATACTCTCCCTGCTTCATCGCCTTTGCATGTTGTTTCTCACCAGGAGCACGAGTCTGTCGTGTATCCTTCTGTGCTTCCCATTTTGCAGGATCCCCCTCCCATATCTTCGTCGCCGCTCCTATCCACTCCGTTACCAAAAAAGAAGATCAAGGAGGAGTGGCGGCCGAAACTGTAGGTAGCTAAGCCTGCTCAAAAGAAAGCCGCAGACCACTATGAGCTGGTCCCGCCTCCTGAGCCTCGACCGCCTTGGCCATCTGAGTATTCACTCGCTTGCATCCTGACGGATGGCCAGGTCGAGTTGACGAGTGCTAGTGGTCACACCCGTCGTGTGCATGGCCACCATCTGAAGTTGTACCTCAAGAGCGATGTCGATCCGCTCTTGGAGGCACCTGTTCCTTCACCTCTCTAAGCATCCACCCTACTGGAGTCTAGCTAAAAGATGGTAAAGAAGCGCTTGTGTGGAGGGAACCCCACCAATGTTTGTTTTCCTTTCGTTTGTTTTCGGTTTGTCTACTTTGAACTATGGTTTCTATCACCCAGTGTGTTTTGCTGGCTCTAGCCCTGCTGACTGGTCCACTTCCAGTCCCCCAGCAGTCTTTCCTTCTGGTAATATCGTTCCCCTTATCCTTCCCTCTGCTCCATTGAGGGCAATGTCGAACTAAAGTGTGTGTGTGGGGGGGGGGGGGGGTGCTTTGTATTATTTGGAATCTTTATATGTGTGCTTGGAGGTTGTGCCCTTTTATCTCATAGAATGATTCAGTTCCTCAACTAAAGATATCATTTGGCACCAAAATCAGCCAGATAGCTGCGATTGTTGACTGATTCCTCTGGAGGATCTTCTTTCGCTTTTGCTACAATACCATTTCCCTTGTGCTCTCTGGTGGCACCTGAGTGTGTCCTGAATGTTGACTATGTTGCACACGTGATGCTGCTAAACTTTATTAACTCCTAAGATTTTCTATGCTCCCAAGTGCAGGCACGCCACTGCCAATTGTTCCATTTTCCAAGCCCAGGGAGGAAGCAGGGATGTACTGGGGTTACCGAGTGTGGTATGCTTCAAATATCATTTCTGTGTTCAAGCATTGTCCATTCAAGGTATTGATCTTATGCTATCTGTGTTGGTTTTTTATGGCATATGTACTTTTTTCTGCTATTGCTAGGCCCTATGTACGTAGTAAATTTTTACTCCAATTGCAGGGTGGATATGACCACTCGATTGGTACATCTGAGCATGGTCTAAAACGTAGTTCATCAGAGCTTTCTTTGCCTCCTTTCAAGTAATGTTCTTGTTCCTTTCCTCTTCCTTCGGTTGGTTAGTTGTGTGCCTACACTGTTTCTTGCATATGTGCTATAGCTTCTTAAGATTCTTGAGCCTTCAATCTTCTTGTTTCAATCTACTGATGAGTTGGCAGAGATACGTTTAATATTGTGGAAAGTTTCAAGTAGTTGCTACGGTAAATCCAACCATAAGTTGATTATCACTATCGAATGGCTTTGTGTTCGCTACCATTATCTGATTATCAACATCATTCTAGCAAGGACCAGGATACCGTACCAGACCGGCCGATCGGACCGGAAAAACCGGAAACCGGACCTGGCCCGGCACAACAGGGGCTGTGTACCATCCAAGATCCTGCCGGGCGGTATTTACGGTCGGACCGCAATGGGTCGAGAAATTTCGGCCGGTTTTATTAAAACCGGCGGTCCCTTTAATTTAACTAAAACGGTGCCGTTTTTGACCAAGCTAAATTTTTTTTTGAAGAAAAGCAGAGACGAAACCCTACCTTCGGCTGCTGCTGGCTAGCGCTCTTCTCTCTACACTCTCCTCTCGTCTCCCCCGCGCCGCTCTGCCCTCTCAAACTCCTTTCCATTTTCTCACCACCGGCGACAGCGTCCTCCCCAGCATCCAAACACCACCGGCGACTCGTCCTCCCCGGCAACCGAAGACGTCGTCGTTCACAGCCGCGCCGCACCGGAGGAGAAAGAGGAGCTTCGTTGGTCGTTCACTGGCTGGTTTCTTCCTCCTCCCGTCTCCCGCGGCTCCAAATCCCTAGTGGCGGTGGTGGTGTAGCTGTACCAGCTTCGTTGTCTCCGCCGTCGACCGCCGTGCCAAGGGAAGAGATAAGGATTTCCTACCCCGCGTTCTTGTGCCGCCAGTGGGACAGCCCTGTCAGCGGGATCACCATCGCCTTAAGGTGGAGTTTACTTCTGCTCTTCCCCCTTTCCTTCTCCTCTCATGCACCATACTAAAATCGCTTCAATTTCTGGGTATTCGTTGGGAAGATTTTCAGAATTCGAATTCCCTTCTCCTTGCTGGTAGTTTGATTGCCTTGTCCATTTCCTTGCTCTGATTCCATGTTCTGTTGTGATGTTTGTTTCCAGTATTCATGATTTACTGGCTCAATAGATTAGTTGATAATGAATGCCCAAATTTAATTGTCTCCAGCGCCATAATTTACACCTTAGTTGATTGCAAATTACCCTTTTACCACAATCAATAGCACCAGGTATTTGTGGGATGATTTTTGTTGACATCAATCGGTGGATTAAGCTGGTGATTATGAGGTTTATTAGGTATTGAAATCTCGCACTTTGTTGAATGTTCCCTAAGCTTATTTACTCTTTTACAGTTTCTTAGGCGGTATAATCCGGTTTTATTCCGGTATTTACCCGGTATGGTACCCTAATTTTGTCGGTACGGTTTTTTAACAAAAAAATAATTTTTTTATTCCAAAAACGGTATTTACCGGTAGGAAACGGTTGAACCATGGTTGTACCACGATTTACCATGCCAAAAACGATTCTGGTTTGATGTCCGGTACGGTTTCGTAATCCATGCATTCTAGGCATCTGTTGATTGCTTTTGGTGGACTTGCTGGGTTGGAAGAAGGTGTCGAAGAAGACAGCAGCTTAAAGGTACTATTCATCTTCATGTTGTACAAAGTTGAGATATTCGCCATGCTTTTTCGATTTTTTTTTCCATCTCACTCAAGGGTACAAACATCCGTAAGGTGTTTGATTCGTACCTGAACACATGTCCAGATCAAGGGAGTCGGACGATCAGAACAGAGGTTTGTACTTTGTACCGTCATTGTCAGGATATTTTCCCTTACAAAAATCATCTTACTAAATCCCGATGTTTTTTTTTTACCAACTTCAACAGGAAGCAATCCTCATATCCCTCCAATATTTCCAAGAGCCTATAAACCGAGCTCTGCAGAGATTTCATCGCTGAGTTAAACAACCATGGACATGAGCAACTCACAATATTTCCATGAAACATGATGAAGATCTTGCAATCTTTCTACGAGCTAGTAGATTCAGATGTTGTAACTTTATCTCTCCTTTTATCTTTCTGCCTATCTGGGACAGTCAATTTAGATTAAAAAAAATTGTTCATGTATGAAAAAGAAAGGAATTTATGTCAAAAAATAAAAAGAGAAAAGAAAGGAATTATAATTACATTAGGAAAAAAGTAAAGACAATGTGTTTTATAATTGTGCATGGAAGAATATTTAATGACGTACGGAAAATGAAAAGAGAAAAAAGTCGGAATAACATAAAAGAAAAGATAATGATATCATTTTAATATGCAAGAAATGCCAAATTCAATCCCAAAAATGACAAATGACAAATGCATTATGTATATGTACATGACTTTTTTTTTTAACTTCTTTCACCAATTGGTCACAAACATATTTAAACCATATAACCATAATTCGGTTATGAAAAATATACAAAAAAATATTTGGTGACCATTGGTGTCTAGTAGAGGTGGCAATTTCAATCCAATCCACCAATCCAATCCATCAATCCATTAAAAATATCCATATAATCCAATCCATTTAAATCCAATCCATTTGATCCAAATCTAATTGGATTGGTGGATTCATGGATTGGATCCATGGATTATTGGCAAATTACGGTTTAGTACCTATAATTTTTATTTTTTACATTTTGGTACCTAAAATTTAATTTTTTATACGAAAAATATCATTGGAAAATTACGTTTTGGTACCTTAAAATTTTCATCGTGACATTTTAGTACCTAAACTTTTTACATTTTACATATTGGTCCTTGATTGAGGATGTCATTTGGATTCATGGATAATCCACCAATCCACTTGATCCAATCCATGAATCCACCAATCCATTAGATCCAATCCATTTGATCCATGGATCCACCAATCCACCAATCCAATCCATTTGTCACCTCTAGTGTCTAGTGATATTCTTAAACACATGAAATTTTGTGTATATATTAATGTACCATATGACTGAACTATATTGATATATTTCATATATTTATAGAAAGTATTTTCTAACAAACTGCAACATATCTACATTGGTTCACATATTTATAGTAGTTCGTACAAATAAAATGTTAAATTCTTCGTGTTCTAGAATAGCGGAAGAATATTATTCTTTACTTCTCATTTTTCAATTTTAAAAGAAAATCACATGTCAAATTATGTAAAAGTTTATAATTGTGTACCAACTAAATTTATGCTTTTCGGATTTTTTTAATTATTTGTAAGAAATTATAAACAATTATAAAACATATTATAAACTAAAAATAATTTATTTGTAGATGTTAATGATTTTCTTATCAATGCTAAAAAATATAATATAAAATTTTAATCGTGATAACTATTCTATTTGTTAAAAAATAGTTGTGATTAATTGCATGAAAGATATTTTATTCTATTGGTTAAACATTTGAAATGATTACAGTTTGAACTTGTAGGTTGCATGATTAAATCTTAGTTATGGTGATTGCTATACATGTTTTGTTGTGGTTAATAGCATCAAATATACTTTATCCTAGTGGTTGAACATTTGAAATTATGATAGTTTGACCTCGTAGGTCACAGATTCAATTCTTGGTCATGATGATTCATATGCATATTTATTTAGTTTTATTTTAACGTAGCTAATAACTTAAAATGTTAAAAATGACAAAATGACATGGAAAATTGTGGAGATTTCGTTGTCCTACGTTTCATTACAGATTAGCCGTGTGTTCAAAGCTCATTACATATTAGCTCATTAACTAAAATAACGTTATTAAGGATTGTACGACCTGCAATGTAATGAATCATCACCTGAATCAAAATTTACATTTTGGTCAAAGGCTTGGATGTAATTTGGACCCATGGATCAATCCACTAATCCATATGCTCCAATCCTTGAATCCACCAATCCATTTAGTCAAATCCACTTGATCTATGGATTCATCAATCACAATCCACCAATCGATTTGCCACCTCTAACTAGAACTAATATTTAATCATGCAACCTAAGAGATCAAATTGTAATCATTTGAATTGTTTAACAAATATAATCAAAACTCTTTGATGCAAGTAATCACAAGATTAATACTCATATTATAAAAATATCTACAACACATAACATTCTATTTTAATTTAATGGTTGACTTCTGTACATTACACAACAAAAACTATCACGGTTAAAATTTTGTATTCTATTTTTCAGCAATGATAGAAACCATTAACAACTACAAATAACCAATTTCAATTTTTAGTTTATAATATGTTTGATACATTTTTTTAAAATAATTAAAAAATCCAAAAAGCATGATTTAGTTGGTACACATTTATAAACTCTTACATAATTTGACATGTGATTTTATTTTAAAATTGAAAAATGAAAAAGCAAAGAATAACCTTCTTTCGTATTCTAGAACACAAAGAATTTAATATTTTGTTTATACGAACTACTATAAATATGTGAACCAATAGAGTTATGTTGCAATTTGTTAGAAAATAACTACTATAAATATTTGAACTAATACACTCTTATCATGATGAACAAAAAAAATTACAATTTTTTTTATGGTTACTAGATTATTCGTAAAAATGATTGTTTGTTAAGTCAAAACCATAGTCATAATAACCTATTCGTGTAAGATGTTCCTATACTTTATGATTAATGAAATATATCAACATAATTCATTGATATGCTACAGTGATTCACAACAATTTCATGTATTTAAGAATATCACGAGACACCAATGGTCACCAATTTTTTTTTGTATCTACCGAATTATGGTTATATGGCTTAAATATGTTCGTGCCCAATTGGTACATTTTCATGCATATTAAAATGATATCATTATCTTTTCTTTTATACTATTCCAATTTCTTTCTATTTTATTTTTATACGTGATTAGATTTTCTTCCATGCTCAATTATAAAACACATTGTCTTTACTTTTTTCTGGTGTACTTATAATTCATTTCTTTTCTCTTTTTATTGGTTGACACAAGCTCCTTTCTTTTTCCTGCATGAGTGTAGATGTGCAACTTTGAGACATGTTCAGGTGCATAGCACCTAAATTAAGCAAGATTTTAAACGAATCTTAAGCTATTAGATATATATAATGGTTGAGATGTAAATAACTATTTTAATCCTTACTTAATGTGACACCCTAATACATATATTACTATTGGTGGCTTCCATCGTACCTTGGTTATAATCTAGGACTTACCCTGAGTAAGAAAATGCAATCCTTGATGAGTGAACCCTAGGTCTTAGATACCTAAATTATAGAGCCTAACCCCTAAGATTGTGCACGTAATTTTTGCATATATTTCGACGAATCATTACCGTCGAATTTTGTTTGTAATTAAATTGATTATAGTGTATGAGATTTTTATAGAATCAAGACCTGTATTTTAATCTTTAACGGTTTGGGAATAGTACCTGATGCCAAACTCCGGTAAATTCAAGGTTTAGATATCATTTTCTTACTACTCAAGGTACGTCATACCTTTGATTTTACCCAAGGTACGATAGAACCACCCATTACTATTACTATTTTTAGTAACCAGTTATACTCGCTTGATAAACCCACTCATAAGATACGCCCGATATGCTATATCTCATTCAGTCAAATAAACATGATCCATTCATCACCACATGCCATAAACATGCATCATCTCAAACTCAAGGAATTCATATATTCACAACATAAGGACCATCAAACAGTCTCTTGATAACTCATTGTATAAATATGTATTCACCAAGTATCAGATCATACTGGCATCACCATGTAACCCTGTCCCAACATAACGAAATATCACACCATCTAATGGTAAATCATTGAATAAAACACCATAGAAAACCATCATCTAACCATCATCATGACATGCAAATTTCGTATATCACATCATAGGAAGTTATCACTTAACCACATCATAAGTAATCTTCATACAAGGATTCAATCACATGCATGGTTAGGTTGATTCAGTGTCCCTTTACTTCTTAATTTGCCAAGTTATACACTTCCCGGGTAGTACACTAGATGTCCTGTATACCATCACGGATCGTACCTATATTGGTGTCTTGTAAATCCAGTGCGGGATCATACCCTGACCGATATCCTATATAATATCACTAGACGTACCCGGACCAATGTCCTGATGTAAAACCAACGCGGGATCATACCTTGACTGATGTCCTGTAAATTCATCTATTGTACTGATTGCACAACAGAGCGCCTTTATATTTGTATTAAGTTATCAAACAATTCCAATTACAGTCAGACACACAGTTAATATTGGATGTTACTGTGAAACGAAGCCAAAGTGTCTCTAAAACTAACATTTTGTTTTGATATAATTCATAAGATGTTGAAGGTAATATAAAAGCATAGCAACATAGTTTGGTTGTACTGTAATATAATGGTGGAAAAGGCAAGCGAACACTTGAGGTGTAATATACACCTTCGTTCACATCTATTAGTTGTACTTTAATATATTTTGTCAAATAAGAATCATTGGTTATTATTTTTGCATTAAATGCATAGTATGATTAGGATTAGAGAATTACAGACTGAAGTTCACTCATTAGAGACTATGGTATAGTATCATGTCCAAACTCCGTTAATACATGATTTAAATAGCAAAACTCGATAGGAGTACGGTAAGGTGGCGTACGCTAGCTTAAACCACTTACAACTTATGAAGTTGAAAATGGTTTGTGAATCAAAGATCAGATGGTCATGAAATTTTTTTCAAGCAGTGATGAAGTCACAACGTTGTTTGGCATTATTGTTGATCATGATTAAAACCTGTATCATATTAGATGAAACACGGATAATAAATAACAATAATAAATAAATATGAAAAGTAGGAATCCAATACCATTGAAAAAATTACAGATAATAGAAGAAAAAGTACACACAGATGAAACTCGCCGCCCATCGGGCGGGGACAAAACTAGTAATATATGGATTAGATCAAACATTTTCTTGCATCACATTCAAATGTAGTTAAGGTTACCATAATGATGAGGGATTTTTCTTGCTATATTTCTTGCATCAAATGTAATTAAGATTTATCGTAGAAAAATGTAATTAAGATTACCATAATGATGAATGATGAGGGGTTTCCTTGCAAAATTAAAATTAAAGTATGAATAACAATGAGTGATGTAAGGAGGAATTTAACTTGAATCAGAAAAGAAATAAAATCTTACCATCTCAATGGATAAAAAAAAATCAATGGATCAAAACCTGCCCAAAGCATTATATCAGCCGTATCGTCGGTCGATGCGGCTGGTTGATGCCTAGTAGAAAGCCACAACCGGTCATCC